GAGGTTGCGATGAGCTGAGATTGCGCCACTGTACTCCAGCCTTGGCGACGGACTGTCTCCAAAAAAAAAAAAACCAGAAAGGAGAAATAAATGTTACTTGCAAAGGGCATATAAAGTCGTAAGCGTTTCCCCCTCCATACTTCATTTCACTAGACCAGCAATTCTACTGAGCCCGTTCCCCAACTCCTGAGCTGTGGGTGTGTCTGTGAGAGCTGGGAAAGAGTTTAATGGTGCTTCTCCACAGTGCTGGGCTGAAGGCAACGGGAGACAAGAGGGTCTCTGTGATTTCTTGCTGAAACCACTGATCATTTGAAGTATAATGGAACTGACCAAATTCATGGCTGCCAATGGCTGCAACTCTCCCATGTGAGCTCAGAGCTCTTCTACAGAGGGCAGAAGAGCTTCAGGCCAGCTCTTCAGGGGCATGATTTCTCTAAGTGTAGCATTTTCTTTACTTCACAGATACTTCACAGAGAGTATAGGACAATTCCAAGCGGGTGAGGAATGTGTGGTCCAGATGTTCTGGTCTGTGATGTCTGTAGCAGGTGCAGTTCCCTGTGAAAGGGGATGAGCTGTGCCTCAGTCACCTGGGATCCAGTGGGACCACTGTCCTGATGATTTTCTTTTTACTTTATATTTTTTTGAGACGAAGTCTCGCTTTTGTCCCCAGGCTGGAGTGCAATGGTGTGATCTCGGCTCATTGCAACCTCCATCTCCCAGGCTCAAGGATTCTCCTGCTTCAGCCTTCTGAGTAGCTGGGATTACAGGCAAAAGCCACCACGCCTGGCTAATTTTTGTATTTTTAGTAGAGACAGGGTTTCACCATGGTGGCCAGGCTGGTCTTGAACTCCTGACCTCAGGTGATCCACCCACCTCGGCCTCCCAAAGTACTGGGATTACAGGCGTGAGCCACCATGCCCAGTCACCTGATGATTTTCTTTGTTTTCTTTTTTTGTTTGTTTTGAGACAGAGTCTTGCCCTGTGGCCCAAGCTGGAGAGCATTGGCGCGATCTCGACTCACTGCAACCTCCGCCTCCCGGGTTCAAGCAGTTCTCTGCCTCAGCCTCCCAAGTAGCTGGGATTACAAGCACCTACCACCACGCCCAGCTAATTTTTGTATTTTTAGGAGGGACGGGGTTTCACCATCTTGGCCAGGCTGGTATAGAACTCCTGACCTCTTGATCCACCCTCCTCGGCCTCCCAAAGTGCTGGGATTACAGGCGTGAGCCACTGCGCCTGGCTAACCTAATAATTTGCTAAAAACCTTTTTGGACTGGGCACAGTGGCTTATGCCTGTAATCCTAGCACTTTGGAAGGCTGAGACGGTGGATCACTTGAGGTCAGGATTTTGAGACCAGCCTGGTCAACATGGCAAAACCCCATCTCTACTAAAAATAGAAAAATTAGGAGTAGTGGCGCACACTTGTAATCCCAGCTACTCAGGAGGCTGAGGCAAAAGAATCGCTTGAACTCAGGAGGTGGAGGTTGCAGTGAGCCGAGATCACACCACTGCACTCCAGCCTGGGCAACAGAGTGAGACTCTGTCTCAAACAAACGAAAAACCTTTTCAATAAACCACAAGTGACTTTGGCTGACAGTAAATGTACTTCTGCCCAAACTAAGATAAAATGTAAGCATTGCTTTTCAAACCTTAGAAATGCAAGAATCAGCTGGGTGCATTGGCTCATGCCTGTAATTCCCACACTTTGGCAGGCCAACTTGGGAGGATTGCTTGAGACCAGCCTGAGCAATAGAATTAGACCTCATCTCGACAAAACATTTTTTAAAATTGAAAAATAAAAAATTAGGTGGGAGTGTTGGCTTGCACCTGTAGTCCAGGAGACTGAGATGGGAGGTTTGATCACCTGAGCCCAGGAGACAGGTTGCAGTGAGTCAAGATTGCACTGCTGCAGTACAATCAGGGCAACGGAGTGAGACCTTGTCTCAGAAAAAAAAGAAAAATGCAAGAATCTCTGTTTTAAAGGTAAAAAAGGCTGGGCACGGTGGCTTATACCTTTAATCCTAGTACTTTGAGAGACCAAGGCAGGAGGATCACTTGAGCCCAGGAGTTCGAGACCAGCCAGGGCAACATAGTGAGACTGCATCTCTACAAAAATAAAAAGAAAATGGGCTAGGCGCAGTGACTCATGCCTGTAATCCCAGCACTTTGGGAGGCCCATGCGGGTGGCTGGATCACTTTGGGAGGCCAGGCAGGAGTTCAAGACCAACTTGGCCAACAAAGTGAAACCTCGTTTTTGTTTTTGTTTTTTTTTTCTTTTTTTTTTTTTTTTGAGATGGAGTCTTGTTTCTGTCACCAGGCTGGAGTACAATGGCGCCGATCTTGGCTCACTGCAACCTCCGCCTCCTGGGTTCAAGTGATTCCCGGCCTCAACCTCCTGAGTAGCTGTGGACTACAGGCACGTGCCACCATGCTCAGCTAATTTTTTTTTTTTTTTTTTTTTTTTTAGTAGAGATTGGGTTTCATCATGTTGACCAGGATGGTCTTGATCCTCTGACTATGATCCGCCTGCCTCAGCCCCCAAAAGTGCGTGGGTTAAGTTGTTGATAGCCACCACGCCTGGCTGGTGAAACCCTGTTTCTACTAAAAATATAAAAATTAGCCAGGCGTGGTGGCCCGTGCCTGTAATCCCAGGTACTTGGGAGGCTGAGGCAGGAGAATCGCTTGAACCCAGGAGGCGGAGGTTGCGGTGAGCTGAGGTTGCCGCCATTGCACTCCCACCTGGGCAACAAGAGCGAAACTTCGTCTCAAGAAAAAAATAATGGCTGGAGTCTAGAGAGTGACCACTCGTCTCACATGTTCTCAGACCCTTTCTGGCTGAAGAGAGTGATTCCATAAGAGTTCAGAGTATTCCGGCTGCCACAAACTTAAGCAGAATAAATTACTTTGTGAATTGCAAAGTTGAACTGGAGGGCCTCCGATATTCCTCCCAGTCCCACAAATCTGTGAATAACCAGCTTTGTTTCTTTATACTCCTAGTAATGCAGACAACTCCACTGTTTGTCTTAAGGGTACTGGAAGACACCTCTCTACCCTGAATGGCTGTCCATCAAATGGCAGGTCAAATTCCAGCAAAACAGTGGTGGCTGGTTAGCCTGCTGCCTGGCATTAGTGATTTGGATTTCACAAGTCCTGTTTTCAAGAATAATTAATAACAAACAAGAATTTGAGAGCTCATTGTAATGAGGCCCTCATTCTGGAAAACTCAAAAACAATTTGTACAACTGAAGGAAGTAACATTAGCAGAAAGAAAAAGGGCCTAGTGATGAAGAAGAGGGCAAAAACCCTGCAGAAAAGCCTGGAAGAGGCTCATGATGCGTCCCAATTTTTCACTGTGATGCGAAAGAAAGAAGTTTCCAACCTGCTGTCAATCTTCTGGGAAATCAGTGATTTCAACAAATCAGAGTTTCTGTGGGAGAGCGATAAATGAGGCCGGCTTCAATGCCAACAAGCTCCTTAGATCTAGTTATCTGTCCCTGAACTGACTATTCATTAAAATGTACATTGAAAACATTTTTTTTGGCTGGGCGCTGTAGCTCACGCCTGTAATCCCAGCACTTTGGGAGGCTAAGGCAGGTGGATCACCTGAGGTCAGGAGTTTGAGAGAGCAGCCTGGCCAACATGGTGAAATCCTGTCTTTACTAAAAATACAAAAAAAATGGCTGGGTGCCTTGGCGCATACCTGTAATCCCAGCATTTCGGAAGGCTGAGGGAGAATCACGAGGTCAGGAGAGCAGCCTGACCCATATGGTAAAACCCCGTCTCTTACTAAAACTACAAAAATTAGCCAGGCACGGTGGCAGGCACTTGTAATCCCAACTACTCAGAAGACTGAGGCAGGAAATCTGCTTGAACCCAGGAGGCAGAGTTTGCAGTGAGCCAGGATTGTGCCATTGTACTCCAGCCTGGGCAACAGAGAGACTCCATCTCAAAAAACAAAAAAAATAGCCGGGTGTGGTGGCGTGCACCTGTAATCCCAGCTACTCGGGAGGCTGAGGCAAGAGAATTGCTTGAAACCGTGAGGCGGAGGTTGCAGTGAGCTGAGATTGCGCCACTGCACTCCAGCCTCGGTGACAGGAACTCCGTGTCAAATAATAAATAAAAATTAAAAGTTATTATTATAATTATTTTTAGAGACAAGGTCTCTTTCTGTCCACCGGGCTGGAGTGCAGTGGCACGATCACAGATCACTGCAGCCTCGACCTCTTGGACTCAAGGGATCCTCCTGCCTCAGTCTCCCAAAGTCCGGGATTACAGACGTGAGCCACCGCGCCTGGCCCGATGCAGAGGCTTTTGAGTAGGCCCGGCGGACAGGGATTTGCTGGTCTACCTAGGCCCCTGTTCCCCCTCTGTCTCTTACCCTTGGTGTGAGCTGGGGACCAACAGCAGGGTTTCCTGTCTCGAAATGGAGCTAATTTCTCCCTCTCTACGGAAAGAGGTAGATAGTGCTGGAAGGCGTGCTAGGTACACCGCAAATACTCCACAGCAAATCCTGCACACAAAATCGCGGATGCTGCAACCCAGACCCCACGCAAGCAAGCACCACACGGTACGTGGGCGGACAGCCGCGCCCCACGTGACCTCCCACCCGCGCCTGTCCGTCCCCTCGATATCAGGGCGTGGCCTCGGGGGGCGGGACCGGCGGTGAGCGAGCGAAACGAGAGAGGTCGGGGGCGTGGCCGAGCCGCCCGGAGGCGGCTGCGATTGGTAGTGGGGCGTGCCGGGGGCGTGACCGCGGCATTGGGTCCCGGGTAGGGCCCAGGCAGCGGGAGTCGCGGTTGCTCGGCGTGCACCTGAGACTCGACGCCCGGGGTCCTCGAAGCCGCGTCCGCCGCCGTCCCGGTCGCCATGAACCGCTTCAGGGTATCCAAGTTCCGGCACACGGAGGCTCGGCCGCCCCGCCGCGAGGTGAGTCCGGCCCGAGGACCGGGCGCTGTCGCCTCGGGACCCGGCCGGCTGCCCCTCCCCCTGCCCGGACCCCACACGGGGCCCCCCGAGGGCCGCGTGGACCCCGGAGCCCTCCATCCCCAGGGAACCCCCTTCAGGCCCTGGCCCCGGCGTCCGGGCCGTTTCGTCGCCTCCAGAGGGCAGAGTCCAGCGCTCCCGTGACTCTCTCTGGCGCTCGGTGACCCTGGCGGTCTGCCTGCCTCACCCACCTCGCCCCGGGACCCCCGAGGCGGCGCAGCCCTCCTAGTCGGGGCCCAGGCCTGCGAGGCTGCCTCTAGCTTCCGGTCGGCCTCGCCGAGAGCCGGGGCTCGGGGCGCTGCCGGCGCCTGGCTCCTCCTCCCTGCCGCTCCCGGTCGCCCCTGCCCCGGGCTGGGCTGGGCTGTGGGGAGACGCCCGTCTCTCCTCTGGCCCCGGCGAGCCCGAGTGTGTCAGTGGTGGGGAGGGAGCCCCTCGGCCGCACGCGCCCCTCCTTCGGGTTTCCGCCGGTGCTTCCTCCTCTCGCTGCTGGCGCAAGCTCTTCCCTTATCTCGGTGATGCTCTGCCACGGCTGGGTGGGGCCTGGGGAAGCCTGAGCAGGTGGAGCCCCAAAGAATTGCTGAGGCAGGTGCCGGGAGACCCTTCGGACCCCCGAAAGAGCAGGAGGACTGATGAGAGGTGTGCCTTGGAGGATGTCCGCTCTGCTCTGCCGCTTTCCGTGTTATTTGTAAGGCCTGGGAGTGTCCTGCGATACCTGGGCCTAGGAATTGACCTCAAGTGACCCCATCAGGGTCCCAGGGCAGTCTGGGTAGAGGGTCCGTTTTTGTGGTCTGGAGTATATTTCCTCTGCTCCCACTTTATGCTGTGCTAAGCTGCTGGAGACATCGCGGTGAACACAATGGCATTTTCCTTCCCCTGTGGCACTTGTAGCCTCATGAGGGAGACAGCAAGCCAACAGACAAGAGCATTGGAGGTTTTCATAAGGACATCGAAGAACACACATAAGGGGCTGGGATGGAGAATGGAGGGGCCAGTCTCAGTAGGGTGGTCAGGAAAGGCTGTTTGGAGTAGGTAGCGTTTCAGCTGAGGCCGGAAGGGTGAGAATTGAGAAAGCCTGGTGGAGAAATGGAAAGTGAACATGAGTGGATGGAGGGGATGGCCGGAGCAGCATGGTGACGGATGAGTGCAGAGTGGTCCTGCAGAACCTGAGGGCCACCGGAAGAAGTTGGGTTTTATTCTGAATGCAGTGGGGAGCCATTGAAAATTTAGAGGGAGCGGCTGGACACTGTGACTCCCAGTACTTTGGCAGGCTGAGGTGGGTGGACTGCTTCGAGCTCAGGAGTTTGAGACCAGCCTGGGCAACGTGGTGAAACCCCTCCGTACAACAAGTTAAAAAAAAAAAAAAAAAAAAATTAGCCAGTCGTGGTGGCTCACTCCAGTGGTCCCAGCTACTTGGGAGGCTGAGGTTGGAGGATCTGGAGGATCTCTTGAGCCCAGGAAGCGGAGGTTGCAGTCAGCCGAGATCGTACCACTACACACCAGCCTGGGCAACAGGGTGAGACACTGTCTCAAAAAAAGAAAAAAAAAAAAGAAAAGTTAGGAGGAGGTACCTAGGTTTGCATCAAGACAGCTGGCGGCTCTGAGTGCAGTTAAGTACTGCTTGGAGGGGTCTGGAGAATACTTGAGGGGTCCTAGTTCTTGCTCCTGGGTGGGCCCTAGTCCAGCAACATAAAGAGATAGGCATGGAACTACAGACTGTAGGGAGAACGTAAAACAGTTTATGTCAGGGAGGTGGGAGAACAGGTGATCTGGTCTTTTCACAGATATTTCCAGTCACTGTGTTTATACAGTAAACACGAATCAGGGGGGAGAAATAATAGGGTGGGACTGATGCTCTAACCATGGCAGGTGAACATTGATATAGAAACTTCAGGTGGTGGAGGTGGTTTCCGGGGTGCTATGGGTGGGTGGATTGGGAAACGTGGGTGTTCTGTCATTGAGGGCAGGAAGGAGTGCTGAGCGATGGTTTGACGACAACAGAGAAAATGTGTGGACCTTGCAGATCTTAGTTTCAGAAAAGTGCTCCTCTGCCTCCCCTTGGGTGGGGGTGTGCCTTTTACTTATGTGACTTTGTGGAGAAGTGTGTCCTGATGAGGCCAGGCCTTGGTGGTTCCCTTCCCTGAGCTTGGGTGTTTTTCTCCTGGTACTTGGAGGAGGCCTGGCCACATTTTGCATTTTCTTTTTGTGTCTTTTTTTTTTTTTTTTTTCCTGAGACGGAGTCTCACTCTGTTGCCCAGGCTGGAGTACAGTGGCATGATCTCAGCTCACTGCAACTTCTGCCTCCTGGGTTCAAGCGATTCTCCTGCTTCAACCTCCTGAGTAGCTGGAATTGTCAGTGCCTCCCCCCACCATGCCTGGCTAATTTTTGTATTTTTAGTAGAGATAGGGTTTCGCCATGTTGGCCAGGCTGGTCTCAAACTCCTGACCTCAGGGTGATCTTCCCACCTCAGCCTCCCAAAGTGCTAGGATTACAGGCATGAGCCACTGCACCTTGCCCACATTTTGCATTTTCTAAGGGACTTCGTGAGTGGGGACCCGATCTGAAGTAATACATCACGGCTGGGTGTGGTGGCTCATGCCTGTAATCCCAGCACTTTGGGAGACCGAGACAGGCAGATCACTTGACGCCAGGAGTTCGAGACCAGCCTGGCCAACATGATGAAACCCCATTTCTACTAAAAACACAAAAATTAGCTGGGCTTGGTAGCAGGCACCTGTAATCCCAGCTACTCAGGAGGCTGAGGCAGGAGAATCACTTGAACCCAGGAGGCGGAGATTGCAGTGATCCGAGATTGCGCCACTGCACTCTAGCCTGGGCAACAGAGTGAGACTGTCTCAAAAAGAAAAGAAAAAGTAAATAAAAGAATGCATCTCGAATGGTACAGCTTTGAACTAGAGTTCCCCGGATTATGCCCCACCCCTTGCTTTAGGCATGTATGGAAGTGGAACCCTGTCTCTCATCACATGCTTCTTTACTCTTGGTTTTCAGACCTGGATCAGTGACATTCGAGCAGGAACCGCCCCTTCATGCAGGAACCACATCAAATCAAGCTGCAGCTTGATCGCGTTCAACTCCGACCATCCAGGTAGGGAGTGGCCATGAGTGTGGAGATTTGCTCACGTATTTGGTCATCGTCACCATAGATGGGGTAGGGAGCAGGGGCAGGCTTGGTTTGGTTGGAGACTTGGAACAGAACTGCCTTGGGGAGCTCAGAGGTGAGCCCCATGCCAGGCTTTAGACCCCCACAAACTGGTCCAAGCGCAGTAATCTGATTGCTTTTGATTAGGGCATGTGTGTGTACAAACCACATGCAAGAGCATGGCCAGGAGGGCTGGGAGGGGACTGATGCTTGTATTTCCAGCTGTCCCCCTGTGCTCCCTGCTCCTTATCTTTAGGCCCTGGATGGCTGGGGACAGTAGGAAGACAAAGGTTTGAAAATCCCGTGTTTTGGTTGGCACTCTCTTGATTGATACTGGTAACTCAGACCCTCAAGCTGGCTTAAGCAAAAAATGGATAACGTTTTAACCTAACTAAGAGGTCAGGGGCTTAACGCAGAGTGGTACCCAAAGGCTCACATGTACTGTTGGCCCTGACCTCTCTGGATCTCTCAACTCTGCCACCTTGGGTGTTGGCTTCCTCCTCAAGAAAAGGTGGGAAAAGTGGCAGATGGTAGCCACAAACCCCATACGAAAGCCCTCAGCCCCTTTTGTATGACCCATGTGAAAAAGAGAGGACCTCTCGCCTAATGTCTTCTGTATCCATCCGAGGCACGGATGGCTCATGCATGGGGCCAGAACCTACCCATAGGCCATTGCTATGTGCAGAGGATATGATCTTGTGATTAGTGGAGGCTCTGGGAAGGTCTGAAGCTGAGCTGCTGGGTTTCATCTCCTCTGGGAGCCCTGGGCAAGGAGGTAGGTGGTCCTCCTTCAGGTGGGGCCTGAAGTCAGAGCCCCCGTGTTTGTTTAACAGGTGTACTGGGCATTGTGCCTCTGCAAGGCCAAGGAGAAGACAAGCGACGCGTGGCCCACCTGGGCTGCCATTCAGGTGAGTGGGTGTCTAACTAGTGGGTGAAGCCTGAAACTTGCACCTCCCTCTCCAGCGCTAGAAATTCATCCTCACCTGGCCCCACCGCCCCATGGCTTGCCAGGTCCCTCCTGTCACCCTGTCTGTGCACTCTCTCAGAAATGGTGGGGCTCACCGGGTGCCGTGGCTCAAGCCTGTAATCCCAGCACTTTGGGAGGCCGAGACGGGCGGATCATGAGGTCAGGAGATCGAGACCATCCTGGCTAACACGGTGAAACCCCATCTCTACTAAAAAAAAAAAAAAACTAGCCGGGCAAGGTGGCGGGCGCCTGTAGTCCCAGCTACTCGGGAGGCTGAGGCAGGAGAATGGCGTGAACCCGGGAGGCGGAGCTTGCAGTGAGCCGAGATAGTGCCACTGCACTCCAGCCTGGGCGACAGAGCGAGACTCCGTCTCAAAAAAAAAAAGAAAGAAACGGTGTGGCTCAGAAGGCTTCCTCCTGGCTGTAGCATTCCGGCCTGGGCAGAGAGGATGGAAGCTGTGTGCTCCAGTTGTGAGCTGGATGGAGCGGGGTGTGCAGTGGCCACCCCAGGTTCCAGGCTGATGCTGGCTCCCTGTCCCTGCCGAGGACTCCACGCTGGATGGCTCTGAGCCCTCCATCTTCTGGAGCCCCCTCTCCAGCAGGCATCCTCCCCAGCCCAGCTGCTCGGGGCCCTCCAAGGAGGTGGCTGTGCTGGGCTGCAGGGGCGGAGATGGGTTGTCACAAAGAGACCTTTTGTGTCCCGCAGCTGCTTCTGGGGGCGCCCAGCAGCCTGCCTGGCAGACTGCCTGCCTTGAGGGAACAGTTTGCTCGCCTCAGATGGATGCAGAGCGGCCCAGCTGGCTTCACCTCTCCCTGTCCAGCTGCAGCGGCCGCGGGCCCAGTCTCTCTGGCCTGCATTCCTGGCTGCTTGTTGGGAGGCCTTCGGGTGAGGGAAGGCAGTTGATGCCTGGTCCTCAGGCTGGAAATGCAGGGCCGTGGAGGGATTCTGATGATGATAATAATGGTGGTTAATAACAACAGTAAAGATTTATGGAGAGTGCTCTCTGTACTAAGTATGTTAGCTGAGTTTTCTCATCTAAACTTTTTTTTTTTTACTTTTAAAAAGTATATAGAGACAAGGTCTTGCTGTATTGCCCAGGCTGTTCTCAAACTCCTGGGCTCAAGCAGTCCTCCCAAGTGAGCCTCCCAAAGTACTGGCATTACAGGTGTGATCCACCATGCCCAGCCAACATTACCTGTTTTTTGTTTGTTTTTGTGACAGGGTCTTGCTGTGTCACTCAGGCTGGAGTGCAGTAGCATAATAATGGCTCACTGCAGCCTTGACCTCCTGGGGTCAAGCAATCCTCCCACCTCAGCCTCCCAAGTTACCAGGACCACAGGCGTATGTCACCACCCCTCCAGCTAATTTTTAAAAATTTTTTGTAAAATGGGGTCTTGTTGTGTTGCCCAGCCTGGTCTTGAACTCGTGGCCTCAAGCTATCTTCCCACCTCCCACCTTGGTCTCTCAAAGTGTTGGGGCCCAGTCAGATTACCTGTTTTAAGTAAAGAGCCAGATGATGATTTTTTTTTTTTTTTTTGAGACGGAGTCTCACTCTGTCGCCCAGGCTGGAGTGCTGTGGCACCATCTCCACTCACTGCAAGCTCCGCCTCTGGATTCATGCCATTCTCCTGCCTTAGCCTCCCGAGTAGCTGGGACTACAAGTGCCCGCCACCATGCCCGGCTAATTTTTTTTTGTATTTTTAGTAGAGACGGTTTCACCGTGTCAGCCAGGATGGTCTTGATCTCCTGACCTTGTGATCTGCCCGCCTCGGCCTCCCAAAGTGCTGGGATTACAGGTGTGAGCCACCGCACCTGGCCAAGAGCCTGATGATTCTTATTAAAGAGACTGAGTCACGCGCACTGCCATCCAGTTTTAGAACATTTCCGTCATCCCCAAAAGATCCCGAGTGCCCCTTTGCAGTTAATCCATTTCTATCTCAGATACCACAGCCCCAGGCAACAGCTGATCTGCTTCCTGCCTCTGTAGCAGAGGTCTGCAAACTACTGTCACGGCCAGATCCAGCTGGCTGCCTGTTTTTGTAAACAGTTTTATTGGAACACTGCCACGCCCATTCATTGATGTATAGTCTGTGGCTGCTTTCTTGCAACAACTGCAGAGTTGAGTTGTGACTGAGACTGTTGAGCCCTGAAATCCTAGAATACTTAACTACCTTGCCCTTTGCAGCTGTTTACCAGCCTTTCCTCTGTAGAGTGGCCTTTTCTGCACATCTCACGTAAACGGAATCACATAATACATGGTCTTTGGAATCTGGCATCTTTCATGTAGCATGTTGTTTTAGAGATACATCTGTGTGGCAGCTTGTATAACAAGTCTGTTCTCACCTAATCTCAAATCTCTTTGAAGTAGGTTTTAAAACAACCCATTTTATAGCTATGAAAACTGAGACTCTTGCAAGGTTAGGAGCTTACCCATTGTTACGGCAGGGCCAGAATCAGAACCCAGGTGTATAGGAGCTTGTGTTTGGGTTTGTCTGTTTTTTTAGAGACAGGGTCTCTCTCTGTCGCCCAGGCTGGAGTGTGGTAGTGCAATCATAGCTCACTGCAGTCTCAAACTCCTGGGCTCAAGGGATCCTCTCTCTCAGCCTCCCTGGTAGCCGGGACTATAGGCACACACCACCATGCCCAGCTGATTTCTTTATGTTTTGTGGAGATTGGGTTTTGCTGTGTTGCCCAGGCTGGTCTTGAACTCCTAGCCTCAAGTGATCCTCGCACCTTGGCCTCCCAAAGTGCTGAGATGACAGGCGTGAACCAATGTGCCTGGCTTCATGTTTGATTTTTTGATGCTTCTTACCCATGAGGGAGCTAGCCCAAGTTGGTGATGCTTGCAAGGTGGTGAGCCCTCTGCTACTAGGACTCTCCAAATAGAAGCTGGACCAGGGTTTTGTAGGCAAGTCCGGAGCCTCATTGTGGCTGCAGCTGTTCAGAGCCTCGCCTGCATGAGCAGCCCTCCCGGGAAACTGCTCGTGGGAAGCTGAGCTCCAGCAGCCCTGGAACCTGCCCTAGAGGCACCAGGTGCCCTTCTGCCTCAGAGGTGCTGGTGTGGGGAGAAATGGCCAGGCGAGGCTCTGGCTGCTGCCCTGCCTTCAGGGGCTCCTTCAGCCTCTCAGCTCAGGGCCACTCTTGCCCTTGCACCCAGTGGCCAGTGGGGCAGAGGGTGAGCAACTTCTGGGCGCTTTCTGGTGTCCAGGCTGTGGGGTGGCAGCTGGGGCCCGCTCCAGTGGGGAGAGGCAGCAGCTGTCATGCTGAGCAGCGCAGGTTCTAAAACTAGCCCTGTCTCTCATCTGTGTGACTTGGAGCAATTACCCACCCTCTCTGGGTTTTGGTGTCCTCATTCTCCAGTGGGGGATGCTGCCGCAGCACCACCTGCTGCATCCTTATGGGGATTCAGTGAGGTCCCTGCATGTCAGCCCTTGGGCACCTGTGGTGCCGGCACACGCTGAGCACTCAGAGTACTTGATTACGTTATCACATCTCATGCCTGAGATGCCAGCCCCCCTGTGCCAGCTGCTACACCTGCCCAGGGACCTACTTTGCCCTGCAGGGCCCAGCAAGCACACCCCAGACTGAGGGCAGCAGAGGTTCTGTGGCTTTAGGCCCAGGACTGTTGTGGTCCTGCCAGCTGGGATTCCAGGCCAAGGCTATCCCAAGGCGTGTCCCGTCTTTTCCCTGTCTCCGGCGGCCAGGAGGAAGACAGTCCTGCTCAGCCCTGTTGGGAGGCAGATAGCAGCGGGTGGTCGCTGTGCTCCCAGCTCTGGTGATGCCTCTCGTCCTGTTCACACCCCGAACCCCAGCCACCCTCCATGCCTAGTCTCTACCTCCGCAACCACCCACCGCATTTCCCTCTGGTGTCTGGCTCACTTTGTGCACCGCACCTACCCCTCCCCACCTCCAGAGCTGAGCCGTTCAAGTTCTTATTTATTTCATTTTTGAGACAAGGTCTTGCTCTGTCGCCAGGCTGGAATGCAGTGGTGTGATCTCCGCTCACTCCAACTTCTGCCTCCTGAGTTCAAGCAATTCTCCTGCCTCAGCCTCCTGAGTAGCTGTGACTATAGGCGCCCGCCACCACACCCAACTGGTTTTTATATTTTTTGTAGAGACGGGGTTTCCCCATGTTGCCCAGGCTGGTCTCAAACTCTTGAGCCCAAGTGATCCGCCTGCCTTATGTTCCCAAAGTGTTGGTATTACAGGCATGAGCCACCATGCCCGGCCACCATGCAGGTTCTTTGGTTGCAAAGAACTAAAGCCAACTCCAGCTTGCTTAACCAAAAAGCAATTTATTAGGTGACTCCTGGGGACGTTCCACCACTGAAGGAGCAGCGGGCTGTGCTGCCCTAGGTGGGGTCGGGCTGGGCGGCTGCATTCCTGCATGTGCCTGGTGACTCAAGGGGCTTCCTGCCCATTTCATGCCAACCTCCTGATGCCAGAGCCCTTGGCCACCCTGGCTCAGTAGGGCCCTCAGGGACATATGTCACAGGAGGAGCCTGTGGCGTTTGCCCCCATGGTGTCCAGAGGGGCCTTGTCGACTTGCAGCCTGTTCCTGTGTGCGCACAAAGTGTCACTTCGGAAGCCCTGGGCTTTGCTTCATACTGGGTTGGAAACAGGACATTCTGGTGGGTTCAGCCATTCCTCTCCCACAGACCTGGTCACCGACTTGGACTTCTCGCCCTTTGATGACTTCCTCCTGGCCACAGGCTCGGCCGACAGGACGGTGAGTGGAGCCAGTTGGAAGAGCTGCTCTATGTCCCAGCCCGTAGTCCAGGGCTTCTGAGCCCCACCCCGATCCCCACAGGGCTCTGCTGCCTTCCAGTCCAGCCTTGCCACACTCCCACAGGGCTGCAGGGCTGGTCTGAATTCCTGGCCCCACAGGGCTTGCTTGGAGCCGTGGCTGTGACCTGACCTGGAGCCCAAGGACAGCAGGCAGGGAGGCTGCCAGAAACAGCAGAGCCACTTCCCGGACTCTGGGACCATGCCCTGTGGTCCTGGAGCTGAGATTCCCTCCCTCCTTTCTCGGAGGTGGGGTATGCAGCCCCTGGCCCAAGCAAGCTGAGGCAGGTGGGCGCCCCCCATCGACAGGCCAGTGGTGTGGTCTCCTGGAGCAGCCTGGTTCCAACACGGGACCTCACTGGGGTCACGGCAGCTGGCTCAAGGCAGTGAGGCCCTCAACCCTGTGCTCATGGACTTGGTCTTTCCTGCAGGTGAAACTCTGGCGACTGCCAGGGCCCGGCCAGGCCCTGCCCTCAGCACCCGGGGTGGTGCTGGGCCCCGAGGACCTCCCAGTGGAGGTGCTGCAGTTCCACCCCACCTCTGACGGCGTTCTGGTGAGCGCAGCAGGCACCACTGTGAAGGTCTGGGATGCAGCCAAGCAGCAGCCTCTGACAGGTACAGGCCACCCTGGCCTGCCCTTCCCAGGGCAGTCCAACTCTGGACAGCACTCCGTTTCTTTGTTGGCATGTTTAGTAACATAAATGTAAAAACAGATACCAAAGTTTTACACTTACATAGTGTAAAAGTTTTAAGATTCTTTTTTTTTTTTTTTTTTTTGAGACAGAGTCTCACTCTGGAGTGCAGTGGCCGGATCTCAACTCACTGCAAGCTCCGCCTCCCGGGTTTACGCCATTCTCCTGCCTCAGCCTCCTGAGTAGCTGGGACTACAGGTGCCCGGCTCCTCACCCGGCTAGTTTTTTTGTATTTTTTAGTAGAGACGGGGTTTCACCGTGTTAGCCAGGATGGTCTCGATCTCCTGACCTCGTGATCCGCCCATCTCGGCCTCCCAAAGTGCTGGGATTACAGGCTTGAGCCACCGCGCCCAGCCAAGTTTTAAGATTCTATGAGGCTGTAATAAACACCCCATCTCTTTTCGTTCTCCGTAGCCATCAGTTTCATCCTCTTAGCTGTTTTGTTTTTTTTATTTTTTATTTTCCTGTTGTTTTTCTCCATTTAAAAAAATAACGGTTGGGCGCAGTGGCTCATGCCTGTAATCCCAACACTCTGTGAGGCCGAGGTGGGTGGATCACCTGAGGTCAGGAGTTCAAGACCAGCCTGGTCAACATGGCAAAACCCCATCTCTACTAAAAATACAAAAATTAGCTGGGCATGGTGGCACACACCTGTAATCCCAGCTACTCAGAAGGCTGAGGCAAGAGCATTGTTCCAACCCAGGAGGCAGAGGTTGCAGTGAGCCGAGATTGCGCCACTGCATTCCAGCCTGGGTGACACAGTGAGACGCAGTCTCAAAAAAATAAAAATAAAAAATAACTTTGGCTGGGCGTGGTGGTTCACGCCTGTAATCCCAGCATTTTGGGAGGCCGAGGCGGGTGGATCACAAGGTCAGGAGTTCGAGACCAGCCTGGCCAACATAGTGAAACCTCGTCTCTACTAAAAAGACAAAAACTTGGCCACCGGACATGGTGACAGGTGCCTGTAATCCCAGCTATTCGGGAGGCTGAGGCAGGAGAATTGCTTGAACCCAGGAGGCGGAGGTTGCAGTGAGCCTAGATCGTGCCATTGCACTCCACCCTGGGTGACAAGAGCAAGACTCCATCCCCCCAAAAAAAGAAAAAAACAACAAAAAAACCTTCTTGGACAGGCGCCATGGCTCACACCTGTAATCCCAGCACTTTGGGAGGCCAAAACAGGAGGATTGCTTGAGTCCAAGATTTTGAGAATTAGCTTGAGCAACATAGTGAGATACAATCTCTACAAAAAATTAAAAAATTAGCCAGGCGTGGTGGCATGACCTGTGTCCCAGGTACTCAGGAGACTGAGGTGGGAGGATTACTTGAACCCCAGGAGGTGAAAGCTGCGGTGAGCTATAATAACACCACTGCATTCCAGCCTGGATGACAGATTAAGATGCTGTCTCAAAAAATAATAATAGGCCGGGTGCGGTGGCTCATGCTTGTGATCCCAGCACTTTGGGAAGCTGAGGTGGGCGGATCACTTGACATTAAGAGTTTGAGACCAGCCTGGCCAACATGGTGAAATTTCGTCTCTACTAAAAATACAAAAATTAGCCGGGCTTGGTGGCAGGTGCCTATAATCCCAGCTACCTGGGAGGCTGAGGCAGGAGAATTGCTGGAACCCAGAAGGCAGAGATTGCAGTGAGCTGAGATCGCACCACTGCACTCCAGCCTGGGTGACAGAGCAAGTCTCCGAAAAGTAGTGGGGGTTAGGACTTCACCATCTTTTTAGGGGAGCACAATTTAACCTGGAACAGGAGTTGCAGAGGATGTAGAGATGTATTTTTATACCTCACACTAGCGGGAGAGAGTATAGATGGCAGGTGTAGAGGCTTAGGGTGGGAGTGACCCTATGGGGTGGGAGGTATGTTGGAAGTGAGCCTGGGAGGGATGAGAGAGCCAGGCCAGGAGCAGGGAGCCTTGGAAGGTAGTTGAGTGATGTACAGCTACACAAAGGTGGGGTGAAGGAAGCAGCCTGTGGTGCAGGGGAAGCCTGTCTGGGAGGAGCTGCTGCCCTTACCCCCTTGGCTGAAATGGATCCTCGTAGCTGCTGCCTTTGCTCTGAGAGTTCGCCCCAGCAAGGCCCGCCCCCACCCACTTCCCTGGTGCCCTCGCTGCCCGGAGCCTAACTGTGACTGCTTCTCTGCAGAGCTGGTGGCCCATGGGGACCTGGTGCAGAGCGCCATCTGGAGCCGGGACGGAGCCCTGGTGGGCACGGCATGCAAGGTAAGCAGGCAGGCAGGGAGCCCCGTCTCCTGGGCTGGGACCCCCTGGGCTGGGCCTTCCAGGCTTGTTGTTTAGGGGGCAGCGGAGCACTGAGGTCAGGATGGTTACCTGTGTGCCCTGCCCCCTAGCTGCCCCTCACACCCCCGCTCACCTACATCTGGAAGTCCCTGTCTTGCCTGGACCCTTGTCAGATGAGAGCCCATGCTGGTCCCTGGTTTGCGCCCTGACATCCCCACCCTCAGCCAGCCGCCTCTGACCCCATCTGGTCTGTCCTAACCGCCAGCCTTTCCGTGAGACTCTTGTTAGGCAGCGTTTGGCCACAGGTGCTGGGCCAGGCCCCAGTTGCTAGGGAGGTGACTTCCGTCAAGGACAGTACAGACAAGAGGATCCGTGACCCGGGCTCTGCAAGAGGGACATGGTGCTTTGAGCTGGTTGGACAGGCCAGGGATACATGGCCTCAGGCAGGGATCTGGGACTAGGACAGGCAGGTGCGGGGCAGGCGGGTGCTGGGTGGTAAGGGTTGTACCTGTTGCCGTAGCGGTAATGGGAAGGCAATGAAGTGTTTTTTTGTTTTTTTAGTTTTTTTTGAGACAGAGTCTCACTCTGTCGCCCAGGATGGAGTGCAGTGGCGTGATCTCAGCTCACTGCAAGCTCTGCCTTCCGGGTTCACGCCATTCTCCTGCCTCAGCCTCCCAAGTAGCTGGGACTACAGACGCCTGCCACCTCGCCCGGCTAATTTTTTGTATTTTTAGTAGGGACAGGGTTTCACCGTGGTTTCAATCTCCTGACCTCGTGATCTACCCGCCTTGGCCTCCCAAAGTGCTTGGATTATAGGCATGAGCCCCTGCGCCCAGTGGCAATGAAGTGTTAAAGGCCAGAGTAGGGCAGGTGGCATAGTGAGGAGAGCAGATTTGCATTAGGAACTGCGTGGACGGTGCGTGGCAGGAGGGGCAGCGTCTACAGGGGGATGTGGGACAGCCTGCAGGGAGGTGAGAGCTGTTCTCTGCCGGGGGTGGCGGAGACCTCTGGGAGGAGGAAGCCAAATGTTGGAGAAGGGTTGGGTGGGAGGCATGGTGGTCCTGAGGCAGTAGGAGAGGCCTGTCACTGGGAAGGGGAGTGCTGTGGCAGGGAGGGGGCGCTAGAGGGGCACCTGGTGTGAACGTTCTGGGCAGAGCTGCTCCAGGGTGGCAGTAGCCTCGTTGAGCTGCCAGTGGTACCTGGAGGTGTCAGTGGAGTCTGGCCGGAGAGGCTGTGAGCAGAATCCGGCTGCAGGTGAAAAGGTCCTGTTTGTTTGATATGCTGACCGCATAGTGCTACCCCTAGGAGGGGATGAGGAGAGCCTGCAGGGGAGGAGGTGGGAGGAGGAAAGCCAGGACCGGGCTGGGCCCTGAGATCGGGGCCAAAGGGCTTCCCCAGGGAGGCAGCCGTGGGTACCGCCAAGGGTCTCTGAAGACCTGTCGGGGTTGCTGGGAATGAAGGCACCCGTCAGGGCCCTTCTGGAGGTGTGCCGAGCCTGAAGACACATGAAGAATGGCCGAGAGGCCTGGGGATGGAGCCGAACAGGAGCTAGCAGGGCAAGGAGGCCAACCAGACCTGAGCATCCTGCCCCAGGGCTCTGCATACTTGGAAGGACCCTAGTCTAACTTTCTTTTCTGTACTGTGCTTTTGTAGAAGCCCCTCTCCCAGTCTTGATCAGCTTTTCCTTTGTGGTGGTGGTTGAGCAGAGAGTCCCAGACACTGGCCTGAGCTCTGGGGACCAATAAGGTTCTGAGCTCTGGGGAGACCTGAGCTCTGGGGAGACCTGATATGCGTGCTCTGGCCTAACCCTGCTGGGGACGGCTTCCCAGGCAGAGTGAGCTCAAGACCGGTCCTTGAGGGATGAGCCCTGGCTGTGAAGGGGGGGACGGGCAGAGGGGATGGCCCGGGCAGTCTCAGCAGGACTCAGGGATGGCTGCCTTGGGACTGTGACATCTCCTTTCTTTGAGAAACTGTCTGCCCCTCTGTCACTGGTGTGGTGGTCCAGGTCCTCCTCCTGGGGGTCCGAGCCCCATTTACCGTCACAGCTGTGCAGGGAAGGACAGTGAGCAACCCCGTGGGCCACTGGCTTGGCCTCTCTTCTGCTTGCTTGCTGGCGTCTTGCAGGAAGAGTCAGAGGAGTCCACAGTATGGAGGAGCTCCTGCCGCTTCCCCAGTGGACATGTTTCCCCCACTAAACCCAGAGCTTAAAGTTGCAGGGACGAGAAGCACACATGTCCTAAGTGGGTCTTGGGAGTGATGCTTAGTGGACCAACTCCCGCTCCTTTCCCTGGTTCCTGGACCTAGGAATTCCACCTGTGGGGATGCAGCATTGCCTCCAAGCCGCACCCGTCAGCACAGTCTAGGGCCAATGGGTACCTCAGCCCTGGGTCTGCTCTCGCCTCCTTTTGCTGTAAAGCGGGTACATCGGAGTCCTGGTGGGGTATCCTACACTGGAAACCCTGGCAGTATGGAGCCGGGAGTGGGGGGCGGCCTGACTGTAGTAGGGCAGCCGGTGATGCCCATGAGTGTGCAGAGAGCGAGGGCTTGTCCTGAGCTGTGGCTGGAGCTGCTGGATGGACCCACCCGGCAGCAGGAACGAACCTGAGCCCTTCTTTGCTGCGGCACCTGGCTCTGGGTTTCCGCACTGGAGCTGCTCATGCCACGGGCTGCCTGATGGGGATGGGGGTGGAGGGGTCATGGGACTTCCCACCAGAGTGTGCCCCCACCCCCGCCCCATCTCCTTCCTGGCGGGGAAGCCTCCGTGCTCCTGGTTCCCACTCCTGTCCTGCCGCTGTGTGAGCAGATCTGCCTCCCGGGACCACCAAAGCCCCCTCCTACTCCCTCTCAGCCTCCTACTCCCTCTCTGCTCCTCCCACTGCGGGGGCCGGAGGGAGAGAAGGGGCAGGAGGCCGCTAGGGGGCGCGCTCTCCTCACGGATGGCCCATTCCGGCCGGCTGCTCTCCTTATTCCCGGCACAGTTGAGCCCTGGTGAGCGGGGGAGGACGTGGCCTCTGCAGCCCAGTTCCTCTCCAATGCGCCAGAGCAGCCTCAATGCTCACGCTGAACTCTGGTTTGGACCCCACGTTAAGCTCCTGCACCCGGTGGCCCAGCTGCCCTCTTGGAGTGTGTGCTGTGAGTTCCGCCCTTAACCCCAGCACCCAGCCTGCCCAGGGGTGGCGCTGTCCGCATCCTCACAGTTCACAGAGCTGGGCGGGTGGCCGGGCGCTGGCTCATGCCTGTAATCCCAGCACTTTGGGAGGACGAGGTGGGAGGATCTTTTGAGCCCAGGAGTTCAAGACCAGCCCGGGCAACATGGTAAAACTCCATGTCTACAAAAAAAATGCAAAAATTAGCCAGGCATTGGTGGCACACGCCTGTGGTCCCAGGCTGAGGCAGGAGGATTGCTTGAGCCCAGGAGTTTGAGGCTGAAGTGAGCTCGGATTGAACCACTTCATTCCAGCCTGGGCAACGAAGCAAGACCCTGTCTCTTTAAAAACACACACACACACACACACACACACACACACACCCCCCAAACTGGCTGGGCATAGTGGCTCATGCCTGTAATCCCAGCACTTTGGGAGGCCAAGGCAGGCGGATCACCTGAGGTCAGGAGTTCGAGACCAACCTGGCCAACAGAGTGAAACCCCGCCTCTACTAAAAATACAAAAATTAGCCAGGCATGGTGGCATGCACCTGTAATCCCAGCTACTCGAGAGGCTATGGCAGGAGAATCGCTTGAACCTGGGAGGCAGAGGTTGCAGTGAGCCGAGATCACGCCATTGTGCTCCAGCCTGGGCGACAGAGCAAGACTCCATCTCAAAACAAACAAACAAACTAAAACCTCAAACAAAAAAAATAAAAATAAACCATAGGGGGCTCGGGGGCTTGCCCACGTCATAGCTGGTCAGTGGTGGTGTTGGCATCGGGATGCAGGCTGTCGGTCTCTGCAGCTCCGTGGGGCAGGAGCAGCACTGGCTGCTGGATGTCAAGTCCTGCCCTTCATCTCCTTAGAGCCTCTGTCGCTTGCTGTCCCTTGTGTCCTGCCTGTCTCCTGTTGTCCCCTCTCTCTGTCCTTGATCTCTAGTTGCTCTGTCTGGCCTGCTCTGTCATTGTCCTCTGTTTCTATCCCTCTCTGTCCTCTCTCATCCCTCACTGTCCCTCGCTGTTCTCTCTTTGGTCTCTGTTCTCTGTCTCTCATCCTCCTCTCTCTGTCTCTCGCCATCCCTCTGAACCCGAGGCTGTGGAGTAGTGGAGTGTTAAGAGCCAGCCCCTGGACTATACCTGGTGCCCGCCTGGCATGTAGCAGGTCCTTGGTAAACTGCAGCTGGCAGGGCTTTGCCAGGAGCGGCATAAAACCGGGGCCCTGCCGAGGCAGACCAGGGAGACCTGGCTTTTGAGGCCTTCTCCAGACAGGTCCCCACCTCTGCCAGCCGCGCATGTGCCCACGGCCCCTTTGGTTCCCACCATCTGCCTCCTCACGTGGCCTCTCCTCCCCCAACACCACACACCAGCAAGCTGCTTTCTCTCTTTTTTTTTTTTTTTTTTTTTTTTTTTGAGACGGAGTCTCGCTCTGTTGCCCAGGCTGGAGTGCAGTGGCCGGATCTCAGCTCACTGCAAGCTCCGCCTCCCGGGTTCACGCCATTCTCCTGCCTCAGCCTCCCGAGTAACTGGGACTACAGGCGCCTGCCACCTCGCCCGGCTAGTTTTTTGTATTTTTTAGTAGAGACGGGATTTCACTGGGTTAGCCAGGATGGTCTCGATCTGCTGACCTCGTGATCCACCCGTCTCGGCCTCCCAAAGTGCTGGGATTACAGGCTTGAGCCACCGCGCCCGGCCAGCAAGCTGCTTTCTCTACCTCTTTGCTCATGCTATTTTACCTTCCTCGAATGCCTTTCCCTTCCCAGCACAAGCTCTGTTTGTCCTTCCACGACCAGGTCTAAGTTCTTCTCCGCAGTTTCCCATGACAACCTCCAGGCCCC